CCTGTTGAGCTTTTCCAGCAACTTTGTTTTTGTTCCTGATTTACAGCATCCACAGTTCTTTTGGTTTTTAAGAGGCATATTGAATTTGAAACATTAACTCTCTTTCTCCATAGATGCTACTAGATCTACTGAGTTCATGCAGCACTTTGATTTATTGGAGGTTTTTAATACTCAACAAGTTAACAAATCAGATGCATAGATTTCTTTTAAATAATGAAACAAAAATAATTATATTAATAGAAAGGACAGATGAATAAATGTTTGAAAAGTTTTGTTCCATAACAGTCTGAAACCACAGCCAACAAAGTTACAAATGTGTTTTGTTAGTCTCAGGTATGGAATAAAACACACAGAATAGTCACTACCTGATGCTGATTCCATTTATACAAAACGTTCACTGTAATACACAAGATTTATCCTATCCCTGTCATGTGATTCAATTTTATGTTTCATTGTCAAGTGGCTCACATTTTAAATTCATTAAGTTCTTCCATTCTATTGTCATGAATCGAATATATTGTTAAACATACAAAATTCTTATGGACATTGACACATACAAGTTTCCTAGGGGACTTCACTAGGTAAGGTGGGACACTTTAGGACTAGAAGACATAATATTACAGTAAAGTGTCACCCATATGAGACAAAAATGAGGAGGAATTTCATCTCTCAGAGGGAAGTGTATCTGTGAAATTGTGAACCACAGAGGGCTTTAGAGGCTGGATCTTTAAGTATATTCAAAATTGAAACAGATACATTTCTAATTAGTAAGGGGATCAAGGGGTACAGCAAAAAGGCAGGAAAGTGAAGCTGAGGATTATCAGATCAGCCATGATCTCACTGAATGAGGGAGCAGATCAATGGGCTAAATGGCCTGTTTCTGCTCCTATGTCTTATAGTCTTGCTCCATTTATATACTCAGAATAGTATCAGCCTCCCAATCACTTATTCTGTTCATTCTATTATTCAGTTAGATGGTTTCAGTTTAACGTGTTTACAGTTGCTTCCTCATATTACCTATATTCTAAATATGTTATGATGTATGTTTCTAGAACGTCTTGGGCATTAATGATCAACATTCTCTGCAACAGCAAATGGCCTCCTTGAAGCAGTTGCCATTGTACCCGAAGAATTTTACATAATTAACCCATTTAAATCTTTTCATCAGGCTCGCAGCAGCATTTCTATTCACTCTTAATAGTTCTTCATTGGGGCGTGTTCCAGATGGCTGCGACAGGAATGCAATGTTTGAAGGTCCGTGTGGTTTCCAAACAAAAAAGCTGCCACTTACCAATATGCTATCGCAAAGCAATGTAGAACTGGTATTCAAAGATCACTGTGTAGGAATTTCTAATCAACCTGTTCAGAGACATTATGACATATCTCTGAAGCAGGTGAAACTTGTATCCACACCTCCTGGTCCAGAGGTAGGGACACTGCCATTGACCCAGAACAGCCCTTACCTGGAATACCTTGTATACATACAGATTTCTGTTATGTCCTTGTTCCTTTGGCAGTAATGAAAATAAAATGGTATAAATAAGTGTATAACATTATGCCATCTTTGATCTGCCAAATTATCCTTTCCATCTGAGATAGAGTCAAGGACGTCAATGAATCTTTCTTTTAATTAAAATTGTTGGTCTCTAGGAAGTCAAAGCCTGAGTACCCAAAATAGAAAATTCCCATCCAACACAAACTGTCAGCTCCATGTATTCCCATGGCAACATCTTGTTTTTTGTGCACTTAGTACAAATCTTTGTCTGCTTTTAAATGCTGCAACCATGTGAATCAATACTTGAGCACAAAATAACTGTCCAGAAACTCCCCTATTCCTCAAACAGTGACCTGTCATTCTGATCCCACCGGAATTTGTGGGATCAATGTGAGGGTAAGTCTTTGGCATGGATACTGACACTAACAGGGAGCACTTCTAATGCCCATCTGTCCATTTGCACGGAAATATGCCTTTGCTTCTATTTAGGAGTTTCTTGACTGGGGAACATTCCTTTCAGTTTTCCTTTCTGGTCAAAATGGATGATTGTTACAGCATTGTCTTAAAAGTACATGAGCTATAGTTTGTTTCCTTGGCTTAGATCCTACCTGTAGGACAAAGCGAAACTGATATGCTCTCATTGAATTGGCATACCAGGTGCTTCAGAAATTCTGGGTCTAAATAGAGAGTAGGAAACTTCAAATTTAGTGGTCCTTTGTCAGATCCACTCTCCAGCTCTCAGTTGCCTTGAAAGATGTTGTTTTCTTAGGTTTCATTAGGTCTTAAGATTCAAGTTAAATCAAAGGCCATCAGAACCTCAAATAATGTTACTGCATCTCGTTCAATGATCTGTATCACCGAAATAATAGTGCTTTCTATATTACACAATGCGGATTAGCGGAAAGTTAATACTGGAAACTTTCAGTCCTGAACTGATGGAATAAACTTTACATTATAGCTCCAAACATTTAGTGAGTGGCACAGCACCTCAGTGGTTAGCACTGCTGCCTGAGACCCCGGTTCCATTCCAGCCTTGGGCGACTGCCCGTGTGGGGTTTGCACGTCCTCCCTGTGTCTGTGTGGGTTTCTGCTGGTACTCTGGTTTCCTCCCACAGTTGAAAGATGTGCATGTTAGGTAGATTGGCCACGCCAAGTTACCCATAGTGCTCAGGGATGTGTAGGTTAGGTGTGTTAGCCATGGGAATTATATGGACTGGGGATGGGTGTGGGTGAGATACTTTTTGGAGGGCTGGTGTGGATTTGTTGGGTTGAATGGCCTGTTTCCACATTGTGGGGATTCTATAAAATATTTGTATTGCTTAAAATGAGAATGCTGCAATAATATCGAAGAAATATATTTAGAATTTTATATTAATAAGATTCCTTCATTGAATATTAACCCTTTGTGAGTTGCTGCAGAGTGATTTTCTTCTGATATTTCTAAAACACAAATCAATGGATAAAAGGATAAAGACTCATGGCACCAAGTTCCTCTGCATTAGTACTGCATCAAAATCTCCAGTCCCAGATATGAAGATTGAGCACAAGAACAGAAATGCAATTACAGTGAATTTCCTCATTTCCCTAGGTCTTCACTTGTCAGAGGCCAAAACATACAACAGCCACAGCCTTAATGTTTATTGTTGAATAAGGGTGGAAAGGTCTGAAAGGGTTAGTGCTGAAGAGTGTCTCAAATACCATCATGTCATTCGACCTTGGAGAGGGAATAGTTAAGGATCTTGAGAATCTAAGTTCTACCATCTGAATCTTATTCATAGTCTCTGTAACAAGGTCTTTCATATTAATGCAACTTATATGTAGTTGCTATTAGTGACCTACATTTTTTAAGTCAGAAAAGAGCCTCTTCTCATTAGACAATCAAGCGATTTTTTTCTCTCCAACACACTAGACCGAACACAATAGTCCTGCCGATCTCTACCAGGAATGAGGATGGTGACAGCAAATCTCCCTGACAGCTCATACAACATGTTTAGCAATGGTAAGAATTCAGAATTTTAAAACATTTAGGACAAGACCCATTAGATCAGATGCCCATCAGCCATCAAATGATATTCACATTTATCAACAGAGCGCACAGTAACAGGGCATTAGGCTACATAGAGATCTTAGACAGCAACAAGCACTCAGAGCTGGAAAGTATTATGGCTGCTATGTGGTTCTCAAGCTTGCAGCAGCAATAAACCTGCAACATTTGCTTTTGGATGAAAAATGTTTCGTGGAATTTCTTCTATTGACTTCATTTTGAAAAACCTGATCCCTCTGAATAATGGTGTGTCCAAGTTCCTCCAGCAGAGTTCACTTCTGATATAATTTTCAAAGCAGTTTAAAAAATGTTGATTCATGTATAATCAGATAACTGGGGCTGATATAGATAACAACAATGTATTCTTAGCAGTGTCTGAACACATTAACGGATTCAGATTCTCAGTAATGAGCTGAATTTACTGACACAAGAAATCTGTGCTATCCTTGTCTTCTTATTCAATGCATTATCATGGAAAGGCAAATAAAAGCATGTTACTCATGGACCTATGTGTGACTTATTCAGCCATTGAGTTCCTAGTAAAAAAAACTTTGCTAGCTGAAGCATACCATATAAGTAACAATTAATGATCTATAAATAATCAGGATCCAAACAAAAACAGTGCTGTTAGAATCTATATTACAGTTATATTAGATATAGTTAATAAAAATCATAGAGTCTTAACAAAATTCAGAACCTTTAATTAATAATAACTGTTGGTTGTAACTATCTTCTTTGCAGGACCATACATACTGGTGAATTTTAAATGATATACTTTTACAAGCAATTGTAGCAGAAATCTTTTTAATAATTTGTTCTTCATAACATAGGTCATGAATAAGCTTATTATTTTGATAGATGGGCTAATAAAATCTTTGAACTTTTTTTTCTTTTATTCATTCAAGGGATGAGGGCATTGCTGGCGAGGCAGCATGTATTTCCCATCCCTGATTGCCCAGAGGGCAGTTAAGAGTCAACCACGTTGCTGTGGGTCTGGAGTCACATGTAGGCCAAACCAGGTAAGGTTGGCAGTTTCCCTAAAGGACATTAGTGAACCAGATGTTTTTTTTTTCCTGACAATCGGCAATGGATTCATGGTCATCATTGCATTCTTAATTTCAGATATTTATTGAATTCAAATTCCACCATCTGCTGTGGTGGGATTCTAACCCGGGTGACCAGAACGTTATCTGGGTCCCTGGATTAACTGTCCAGTGATAATACCACTCGGCCATTGCCTCCCCAATGTCTTATTTTAATCAATATCTTATTTTATCAGTTTGCATATGTCTGAAGTAACATTTTATGAGTTATTGTAATAAAATGGTACACCAATTTACACAATTTAATTTTAGCCAGTCTTGTCTTCTTTTTTGCATGGAGTTGATTATATTGGCATTGAACACCCATTATATAATTCTACAGATTGGAACAGTCCATCATTTTGGATGCATAGCTTACCGTAGTTGTCTTTATTCGCCCACCTGGCTGTGTGCAGGTCCAGCCTGATTTATTCATTAACAAATTGCAACCTTCTCCTTCCAAACACGGAAGCATTTCACACCATTGTCTAGTCTTTACAATTCGTGCTGTAAAACAAAGAAGGATGTGCATTATTCCAGTGAACAAACACTATCCCATTTAATTTATTTTGAAAGGAAGTCCACATCAGGTACTGTGGGTGGATGCATAAAGGTGTTTTTCCTTAACAATTTTTGACTTTTGATTATTTCTCCACTTGTATCCTTCCATATCCTGGGATTATCTATTCCATGTAGTTATTCGAGGGCGAGGAAAAGTGTGGGATCTGTTGTTAGACCTTTGTAAACAGAGGGCAACATTCTTGACACAGGCATATAACAATGTCCATTAATTGCAACCACTGACCACGAGAAACCACTTGCATTTCCACCAAATAATTGCCCTTGTGACACCTCAGAGAAGACTGCAAATTACAATGTCAAAATCAGTTTATGATATGGAACCAAATTCATTAGGAACTATGTTAAAACTCACCAAATTTATATAACTTCGTCCGCCAACATCTTAATTTACATTGAAAGTCTTGGCTCTAAACAACGTTGATACATGCATACATGTACACCTACATACATGCATACTGAATGAAATGACTGCAAAAATTTCATAACAATATTTACACTAATGGATTGTCTGTATTTTTTATATTTGTATTAGAAAATACCAACTTGGATTTCATTCCCCTTGGTGAGGTAGCAGTGGATCACCAATACCTATATTTTTGGCTGTGCAGGATTGTCACTAACTCACTCTAATTTCCTCCCAGATTGCTCATTTTCAATGCAGTGAGAGTTTGAAGAAGGAATCCTACTTCTAAATCACTTACCTTCATTGGGAGGGAGAGAAACCCAACTTATGCTGCAGCCTTTAAAAGACAGTGATCAGTTAAAGGGGAGCATCATTTTCTCCCCAAGAACCTCTGCAGCAGTAGTATACTGAGGGAATGTGAGCATCTGGGAGTACTCCATGATTCTCAAATAAAACACTGGTTATTTCTTAAGGAGAAACCAAAACAGAAAGTTTGTTTGACACTGAAAACATGAAGATGCATGTGCAGTTTCATGAGGCAAAGTGCCAAAGTCACTCAATGCATTTATACTACCCCAAGAACTTCCACAAAGGAAGAAATTCAATAATCTTAAAATGCTAGCAACGGTAATTCTCAGCACTGTCACCAAATAGACAATGTCTACTACTCTGGAATCCTCTTTAACACTTGGAATTTTATTTTTCATTATCTAGATTTTCAGGACCTAACTAAGCTGTCCTTTACAGAAGCAAATATTCAATCATTTCTACTCAGAATCACACAACTAAATCAACACGTACCATACTGTATTCAAGGAATTAAGGAAACAATGTTTTATGTCAACTTAGCCTCAGCTCATCTGGAGATGAAATTCTGACCTCATAGTTGAGCCATATCTAAGGTTATTATCTTCCACCTTTGTAACATTATTCAACTTTACCCTTGTTTCAGTTCACCTGCTTCATCCAGATCTTTGTTACTCTTGACTCAACTATTCCAACCTACTTCTAGCTGGTCTCCCATATTCCACCTTCTTTAAACTTGAGATCATCCAAAACTCTGCTGCCCATCTCTTAACTTGCAGCTAGTTTCATTCTGCTTTCACCCCTATGGTTACAGATCTTTGTTGGCTTCTGATCAGGTACCATCTTGATTTTAAAAATCTTATCCTTGTTTTCAGATCCCTTCATGCCCTTGCCCTTATCTAATCTCTTCCAACACAATAACCCTTCAAGATATCAGTACTCCTCTCACTCCAGTCTATTATGTATTCCCCCCATAGCTGCTCCAATATTAGTGACCGTGCCTTCAGTTGCTTCAGCCCCCAGGCTCTGGAATTCAGTCCCTAAACCTCCGCATCTATGTAGTTCACTTAGTGCCTTTAAAACCCTCCTGAGAAAATCCCTCTTTGGCCAGACTTTTGTCACCTGGGCTAATATCCCTTTTTTGTCTCGGTGTCACAGTTGTTTCATAAGTCTGCTGTGAAGTGCTTGCTTCATTACATAAAAGACACTGTATAAAAAAAGTTGTTTTTAGTACCCAAGGATGCTTGAGATGAGGAAGGTGTCACTGCCACTCATTCTGTTAACATTGACTTCTTTCTCCTCAGAAGAGAAGACAGTTTACTACCAGTGCCAAAAACATACAAACACAGGGGAAGCAACAGCAGCAGATAAAAGCCACAAGTGTATTGGAAGTGGGGTAATAAATTGGGAGCAGGCAGATACATACCAAACTCATTTATGTCACATGACAGAAGTATAATTGCAGCTTACAGAGTATGGGGAGGTGATGGCCTAGTGATATTATCGCTGGACTGTCAATCCAGAGACCAGATGATGTTCTGGGGACCTGAGGTTCAAATACCGCTATGGCAGATGGTGGAATTTGAATTCAATAAAAGTCTGGAATTAAGAATCTAATGATGACCGTGAATCCATTGTCGATTGTCGGAAAAACCCATCTGGTTCACTAATGTCCTTTAGAGAAGGAAACTGCCATCCTTACCTGGTCTGGCCCACATGTGACTCCTGACCAACAGCAATGTGGCTGACTCTTAACTGCCCTCTGGGCAATTAGGGAAGGGTAATAAATTCTGCCTAACCAGTGACGTCCTCATCTCGTGAATGAATAAAGGAAACAAAATGTATCTGGTACAGATATACAGAATACACGATAAGGTGAATGGTGTTGCACACTACCTAAACTTTAACAGAATGAAAGCTTCTCCTATTTCTAAATGTCGGTGATGTTGATGTACAGGGCTTTCAGCATCACATGCTTTTGGTATTTGCTCATTGTAACCGTGAGAGCCTTAGCACAGGGTGACATTTCCTCGGTTTATTTGAATAGGCACTTGGTTGTGTTGAACTTGAATACTGCTGAGAAAAGGGTTTTATTGCCACAGTTTTTCACCTTGCTCCCTTCAGGACAAATGCAAGAATGCCAAATTTCAAACAATCACAAATTATTTCAAATGATCTGTGCCTTCCTGTCATATGACTTGTTACAATCACTTGAAATTTGACATCTTACATTTGTCCTGATTAGGGCAAGATGAAAAGCATCAGCAATATGTCTCTCTTTTCAGCAATATTTTGTCTGACAAGATCACTGGTGACCCTCTTGATCTGTCTGGCAATGATTATGGTGAGTTTGACTAAGTGATCATGCTGACGCACAGAGGTGGGGGTGGAAGTGATAATGATGCAAATCAGAAATGCAACATTTGGAAAGAAGGTTATATGTTGTGTAACAAAATGTGCTTAATAAGAACAGGCTTTGAAAAACAAAACAGAAGTAGGAAACAGAGAAAGTTATCCCGGATTGAATTATAATCTGATGTAAAATGACAAAATCACGCACTGGAAGATTTTAAAAACTGAGGTTGGAAGTCTCACATATCAAATCTAGCAAAAAACGAAAAGATTCATTGGCACCTCTAAAAATATTTTCACGCTTTTTGGCTGAATTTGCAAAGAATGTCGGGGTTAGGATCAGAGGCAGGTGGTGTGGGAAGGGATGGGAGCAATCTAGCACCAGTGGCCATTATGTTGTTTGATACCAGGATCCTAACCTTGGAATTACTGCCAGACAAATGAGGTTGGATCACAAGCTGCTTACTCATCTACAAGAGGTGGGTTAGGGTTAGGGTTAGGGTAGACAAAATTAAGGGGCCTGGGATTTTCAGTCGCGAGGCAGATATCAGTCAAACATCCCAGAATGAGCCCAGACCAAGGTGCGAAGGTCAGATTAGGAAGGACACTGGGGAGATATGGTCCACATTAGAACGCAGGAGAGACTCCCAAAGCCTCAGAAGTAAGGGCTGTTGTGCCATAACTACAAAGGATGGCCATTCCAAGAGGAGGGCTGTTTCTCCAAGACCACATGCAAGTACCTGTGACTGCTTTAAAATTAAAAATAAAATGATAATTGTATCATTTGAAAACTGTCGGTACTGCTGGAGGGCATTGAATAGATGGGCATGAGCACATATAAAGAGATGTTTAAGGACACAAAAGTGGAGTACAGTCTGGAGACATACACCTGTGTTGTTTCAATCTGTGAATAAATCTATTCTAAAGTAAAGAATGACTTGTTATTTCATCATGTTGGTGGATGAAAAATTTAGCTGGCCTGCTTTCTTTTCCTCTGTCTCCATGTTCAAAGTTCAGCCAATTAATATTGGGGGAGTTTCCCAAGTGCCCTCCAGTCCTAACAGTTTGCCTGCTCTCTGTAATTGGGTGGCATGCTCACTCGCTGGTCTTTACAGATCCCTACAGTGTGGAAACAGGCCCTTCGGCCCAACAAGTCCACACCGAACCTCAGAGCATCCCACCCAGACCCATCCCCCTGTAACCCACCTAATCTACACATCCCTGAATACCATAGGCAATTTAGCATGGCCAATTCACCTAACCTGCACATGGCAAGCATATCTGAAACACGCCGTGCAGAGTCAGGTCCTAAACGTCTCCCAGCTTTGGGTTTCTGCCATCTGGATAAAAATTTAACCCTTTGTATTTGTAATTCTGTCTACTGAAATCAATGTTTAAATTTGTAACGGTTATGTCCATCAATCCAGCTTTCTCCAGAGCTGGTTCAGCAACTTTGAGAAATAATTACAAAATTTCCAATTACTCCAATTGAATGAGAAGGAAATTCTGTTGTGTGCACACAAGGAAGGAAGGTAACATTAAAAAGTCCGCCAACTATGAGACACTGGAAAGATGCTCCATGTTAAAATATCCAAAAATGGGTCAGGACCAGCTGCACAGTCAGGAGCCATGCAGGCTGATGAACTAGAATTAAAAAGGAAAAAGTGGCACAGAAAGTGTACCGGAGAAATCTGCCCGAACAACGGCCTCAGGCTCTTGAGAAACAAAGACGTTCCCAATTGCCCTATAGAGTCCAGGGATAATGCAGGCTCGATGGATTAGCCATATTAATATATGGTTATGGGGATAGGGTGGAGGTCTGGGTCTGGAAGTAAGGCTGTTTGGAGGATTGGTGCAGACTTGA